TCTTCGGAGAAGACCGAGAACCTCCGAGGATCTCCGAGGACCTCCACGGACCTCCGAGAACCCAAGAACCTCCCAGAACCTCCAAGGGCCTCAGGCGGCTGTTCGGAACGATCTGGGCACCACCAAACTGCCCTGGGCGAGGCGCAACTGCCGGAACGCACCCCCTGACTGGAAAGCCAGCGAGTGTCGACGGAAATGCCCGAAAACCCAGGGCGACGGCGCCATGGGGTGCCATCCGAGCCCAGGCGATCAGCCGATCGGCTGTTCGGTACGCTTGGCCGCTGATCGGCTGGTCGGCTGCTCGGTCGCTGATCGGCTCGTAAGCAGGTCGCCCGTTGATCCCAAGACGGCCAAGAGGCCCAAGACTTGTGGATGCCATGACAATGGGCACCCTAACAATCCGATCATTGAATTTGACATGATCGACCCACGAACCCGGAAAGGAATATAGAAATGTAACGCATGGCAACGTTTTCAAAGACACCTGATTGGGTGACGGGCAAGTGCAATGCTGATTGTATCGATCTTGATGTACCGTGCCGAGTGCTGTGCTGTGCTGCGCCGTGCTGAATTGCAATGTGCCATGCCGCGGTTATGCTCTATAGCGTCGTGGATCGAGTCTTCCTCTGCATCCGAGTCCTGACCGAACTGATCTGGATCTGAAGCTCGAGCTGCCTGAACACATAGTAGCTGCCCCAGAGCTAATTGACAGGGGGACATGCCAGGAGGACGCGCCGCGAAACGTCCCAAGGGACGCGCCAGGCGACGTGGCAAGGGACGTGCCATGGGGTCGCACCGTAGGACGTACCAAGGGGACGCGCTACGGGACATCCTCAAAATTCCTGCGCGCGGGACGTGGCACGCGCGAGACATCCCCGGAATTCCTGCGAGCGGGACGGGAAAACAAACATTTTGCCTGAGACATCCTCTGAATTCTGGCCCCCCACGAGGCCCCCGCTCGAGACACCCCCCAAGTTTGCAAAACCAGCGTTTCGCTCGAGACATCCTCAACAAATTATGAAAAACAAGCGTTTCGCTCCAGACATCCGGTCAAAATCCAAGGACATCCTGGCAAAACAAACGAATCAGTCGAGGCATCCTCAAAATTCCTGCGCGCGGGACGCGGCACGCGCGAGACATCCTTGGAATTCCTGCGAGCGGGACACGAAAACAAGCATTTCGCCTGAGACATCCTTTGAATTCTGGCCCCCCACGAAGCCCGCTCGAGACATCCCCAAATTTTGCAAAACCAGCGTTTCCCTTGAGACATCCTCAACAAACTATGTAAAAAAGCATTTCGCTCGAGACATCCTGCCAAAATTCTAAGAAATCCTGACAAAACAAGCGACTTAGTCGAGACATCCTCGAAATTCCTGCGCGCGGGACGCGGCACGCGCGAGACATCCTCGGAATTCCTGCGCGCGGGGCGCTTTTCCGCGTCGCGGTCGGGGCTCCAGACCCCGTTATTTGTCGAGGATTCTGCGAAAAACGCTCCGCACCCTTTTTTTTACGACGGGAAACGGGGGTCTGCGGACCCCGTTTTTTATCGAGGATCCGAGATGGGGGGCGCACTTTCCTCGAGCGGGCACGCACGAAACGCACTTTTTCTTCTTTTTTTATAAAACCAAAAAAATGTTACCTCGTTATTTACGCAGAATGATTTCGCCTCGCCGGCCCTCTTCCCGTCAGAACCGGGGGTAAACCATCTAAAAGAGAACCCTGGTCCTATGCCCTTTCCGGGAAAATGTATCTGAAGTGTGGGAAATATGTTTTAACATGCGATACTTAAATATGCTTCAGATATCTGGAAATACTTTGGCAACATGCGTCCTTTCCATGGATCGTCGTCCACAGCCTAAAACGGCCCAAGAGGGCCCCAATGGAGATCTCGAGCGCCCTGCGCCCCCAGGTGGGAAACGAGACCGCCAAGAGGCCCCCGAGAGGCCCCCACGAGGACCCAAGAAGCCCTCGAGAGGCTCGGGAGAAGCCCCAAGAGGCCTCCAATCGGCCCCCAATCGGCCGCCACCAGCCCTCTCCGGCGAGGACTCAGACAGTCGAGACTGATAAGTAGGCCGACCCTGCCAAATCAAGGGTACCCTGGTGTCCTGTGTTTCGCGACCCATGCCTTCTACATTCCTGTGGCAATGTGGCCCTCGGAAGGGTCTTGTGTCCTCTCGCGTGTCCTCTCCAATCAGCCCCGACTGTACGCTACGGTAGGCCCACCAAACAAGAGGCCAGCCTGTCAGCTTCAAAACTGCCTCTGGTAGGCTCCCCAAGAGACCCCAATTCAGCATCAAACCAAGAGGCTTCTGACTCGGACCGAAAATCCAGGCACGGTGGCCAGATGGGCCGCCCATGGGTAGCTCCCGAAACTGCCAGCGAGGCCTCGAATACGCTCCCAGAGGCCCGTGAGGAGGAACCCAAAATGAAGCTCCCATTAGACATTAGCAGGACAAGTACCAGCAAAAGGGAAATGCGAAAGACAAGCGACAGGAACAAGAGCCACGCTGAGATGCTTCGCAACACCTGGATACTCAGCGAAATCCGAGCAGACCCGAAACCCTGGCCGTCCTGCTCACTCCTCTCTCAACTCCTCTTTAGCAATTCCCTCCTCCATTTTTTCAGCATCAACATCCCGTCCCCCTCCGCCTCTCTCCCCCCGCTCGCTTGCTTGAGAGGCCCACCCGCTCTTATGTCTCGTCCTCCCAGGCCGACCTGCCTGGCAGGGTCCGCCTCCCCGACCCGCGCGTAAGGGTCCGCCCGACCCCTGGCCCGACCCGTCAGTGAGGGTCAGACCCGCCGGTACGGTTTCCCCCGGGGCCGTAGGCGACTGGAGGAGGAGGAGGAGGAGGAGGAGGAGGAGGAGGAGGAGGGAGGAGGAGGAGGAGGAGGAGGAGGAGAAGGGAGGAGGAGGAGGAGGAGGAGGAGGAGGAGGAGGAGGAGGACGGGTCGACTAAGCCCTTCGGAGAAGCCCTCCACCCGTTAAGGTCCGCCCGCTGAAAGCACGCCCGCCCGCCTGAAACTCCCACTCGCTCGACCCGCCCGCCCCGCCCGTCTGGGTCCGCCCGCCCCGCCCGCCTGACCCTCCCATCAGCCCGTTACAACTGCGATGTTTTTCGCTGCGCGCCCTCCCACGCAGTCGGCAGACAAAGTACGTCAGGTTCGTGTCGTGCCGACTCCGGCGTTGTTTCCTGACATCACGGGGATCGTTCAACCTTGAACGATCGGCGGTTTCCGAGACGCCCAAATCGTTCCACATCGCACGATTCTGGGTCGCCCGCGGCGTTCAAAGTTGAACACCGCTGGCGGGGTCGCCGCTGGTCGACACAACACGAACCTACCGTAGCACTGGCTCATCGGATGGTGACGCCTCAAAGGCCGTGGCCACGGACTGCACAAGTCCGGCCAACGACTTGCCAACAAAACCGTCACCGATGAGGAGACGCCGCTCTCGACTGTGCACGCCAGCGGTGCTCCTCCTCCTCCTCCTCCACCCCATCCTCTCCTGCCCTCCCCCGCCTCTTGGACTCTGTCCGATCGACGGCCCTAAAAAAACATGCACATGCGACGGCTCGAATCAAGGCAAAATAATGGCTTCGGGCTGCCATGAACGGACTGGCCCACGAGACAATCGCTGCAAATACCTGCAGCGCGCTTTGATGCTACGGCTGGCAGGGTCAAGCAAGTGACAACCACAGACCCAAGTGAAACAGAAGTGTTAGGTAAGCGCGCGACTGGCTCCGCGGGTCACGCAGCACATGAACGATAGCGGGCTTCAGCCTGAAGAACTACCATGCTCGCAATGCTTAAGCACCAACGCGGAGGTGCGGAAATAAGCTGCCTTGGTGATGAACGACAGCTTGGAGGTAGCATTCCCACGGGATTCGATCCGACGGTTGCCTGCCTCGAGGATGCGAAACCACTTGACACCACCAAACGTTGTCGATGTAGAGAAACGGAAAGCAAAACAAACAGTTCCCCCTGGAGTGAGAAGACAAGGCAATCCGCCCAACGCACGCTCATGGAGAGAGAAGCATAGACGACCACCTGACGCACACTTGCCTGGTCGGTCGCACAGGCGTGCGCGCTCATGGCGGAGCAGGCCAGATAGTTGCCCCGGGAATGAAACACGCGGGCCTGAAAGAAGAGCAGGACCATCCGAAGGCTCCGCACACACACACGCACACAAACACACACACACGAGAGAGAGAGAGAGACAGAATGCTGCCTCGGACCCCTGTCTCGGACCACGGCGACCACGGACCAACTGCCTCGACCCCGCTGCGGTGTGGCCCTCCTCGACACCACCTCGGACAAACTGTCTCGAGGCCGCTGTGCGGCGGCCCTCCTCGGACCACCTGTCAAAGCCGGCATGCACAGGCAAGTGCGACACGGGCCGCAGGCTACAAGTGCACAGGAAGGAAGCGAGCGAAGAGGGCGTGAAGCAGTAGAAGTCGGCCGACTTATTCGGCAAGGCGGAGAATATCACTATCTCAATCACATCGCTCAAAGCTCTGTGTCAACCCAACTCACCTACCGCCTCGAAGCCAAGCAAATGACATCAAGAAATCGACCATCCGGGAACGTCGCGCAACAAAATCGGAGCAACTACTCGTAGGGCCGTGTGTAGACCAGGGAAACGGTTTTGAAACGGGGCCTTAGCCCCACACCTCATGGAGCCGAAAGCTACCCTCGTGGCTTCCAGCCAACAGGGACGAATCGCCTGAAGGAGGCTTCCAGAAGAAGCCCAGGGGGAAGGGGGGAAGGGAAACATCTTCCAAAGGAGCTGCCGACGATGGATCTCATGCGTCCTTCCCACCCCAATCGGTGAACTCCTCCTCCTCCTCCTCACCCTCCTCCTCCTCCTCCTCCTCCTCCTCCCCCTCCTCCCCCTGCTCCTCCTCCTCCTCCTCTTCACTCCAGACCTGGATCCAAGGAGCGGGATCGAACCACGAAGCAGAGACAGACGCGAAGAGAGACGAGAGGGGCGGAGACCAAGGTCACGACGGAGCCGGCGCATTACCTCCCAAGGTGGCGCACGACACGGGCGAAACCATCATGTGCGTGCGCATACGCTCGAAGACCCTCAGCTCCGTTAGCAGACGCTCTGTGCGCTCCACAACACCCTCGGGGAGGATGGGGCGAGCACACAGATCGGTCAGCCTCAGCCTGCGAAGTCCTTCTACGCAGTATGGGTTCAGCAGACGCACGTCCAGGGGCTGTCCTGCAAACTCCGGCATGTTCATAACATCACCGCGCCACTTATCCAGAGCCCGTGTCGCCACGCTGCCGAAGCCAAGTTCGTCGACCTTCGATTTCAGAGCAGGCCAGACCACGCTGATCTTAGTGAGGTCATCCATCTCTCTGAACAAACTTCGAGTCTGCTTGTCCAAATACCTCCTCGACTTGCAGGAAGGCTCGTGGCACCACGCGCACTCGGGGCCGCGAGGGCAGCGGGTGCCGCTCCGGACCAGAGCGCACGCCAACCTGCAGAACGTCGGGTGGCCGATGCTCCCGTCGCTCGGGACGCTGCACGAGCTGCAGAACTTCGGGCCGGAGAGGCTCGCGATGCCCAGGGCGCCAGGCGGCGACTTGCAGGCCCAGGACGGCACAGTACCCGAGCCCTCACCGCCCTCGGCGCCGCGGGCGGAGCCGCCGCCGTGCGGCGCCTCGGCGGCCTCCGCGGGCGGCTTCCGGGGGCCCTCGGGCGGCCCTCGGGCGGCGTGCGCGCGTCGTCCCGCGGCCTTCGCCTCGGGCGGCCCGAGGCGGCTGTCCGGCGGCCCAGGCAGCTGCGAGGGGGGCTGTCGGCTGTCGCCCCACCGCGTCGGCGCGATCACCCGGTCCCCGGGCCGCTCCGAGCAGCGCTCCGCAGGGGGCAGCTCCATCCGGGCCCGCGCGGGAGCGGCGCCAGCGGGTGTGCGCTCGAGGCAAAAACTGCTGCGGAGCCCGTGGCAACGGTGATGGTGAGGCGCAGTGATTCCAATGGAGAGTTGTTCAGTTCCACCTTCCTGCAGCAGGGGTTCTCACGCGGGTTCTGCACGAGATCTGTTTTGGTTACACCTGCTTGCCAGTGGAGCTCACACACGGATTGAAGGGAAGATCTAATTATCCCCCCTGCCTGCCACAAGGTTTTTCATAGGGGTGCCAACCAAGATCTGTTTGTTCCCCCAGTGCTTGCAACAGAGGTTCGCGCAGGGGCAGAGATCCCAAGGAAAGTCCAGCCAGCTCGCTGGGCGCAACGGCTATAAAGGTCTTTCTTCGCACTTCCAATGACCCTTGTTCCCATATTCGTGGAGGGTTTACCCCTACCCGTGCCCCTGGACCTGGACCAGGGGGGGGCGCGAAGTGTCAGAGGGTCCTATTTGGCCCAAGGTGGCTCCAAGATGGCCCCCGACGCCCCCAGATGGCATCCGAGATGGCTCAAGACAGCGTGAGATGGATCATTGTAGCCTCCGACATACCTACGAGAGGCCCCAAGACGACTCCACAAGACGCTCCAAGTGCTCTCAGAGCCCCAGTTCCCCAGAGGAGCCCAAGAGGGCCCCAAGACGACCCCAAGACGGCCACAAGAAAATTGCATTCAGCATCTGAATCAGGGGGGGGCGGAAGAATTGCCACCGGCCTCCTTTTGAGCCATGGCTTCAAAGATGGCCCCAAGAGGGCCCCCGAGATGGCCCCAAGATGGCCCCGAGAGGGCCCGAAAGCCTTTCAACATTGCCCCAATATGGCTCCAAGAGACTCCCCGAGGTCTCTAATTTCACCAGTGTTGGCATATCTGCTTCACTACGTGCTTACTTAAGCCCCTCATTCAGGTAGCTTTCATAGACATCGATCCTGGATGGGCTGATGGGAATACGCGAACCCAATAAGAATCCTAGAGGCCTCTGACTAAGACCCACAATCCAGGCACGGTGGCGGGATGTGCCGGAGGCCAGTAGACAGCTCCCGAAACCGACAGAGAGGCCTCCAGGGGCCCCCAATACACTCCCAGACGCCCGCGAGGAGGAACCCAAGATGAGGTTCCGAATAGACATCAGCAGGACAAGCAGCAGCAAAAGGGAGATGAGAAGCACGAGGGACAAGAGAAGGAGCCACGCCGAGGTGGCTCGCAGCGCAAGACTTGGATGTTCGGCGAACTCCGAGCAGATCCGCGAGCCCGGCCGTCTCCTGCTGATTCCTCTCCCCACTGCTCTTCAGCAATGCCCCTCCTCCCCTTTTTCCATACCAATGTTCTGTCGCCCTCCGCCTCTCCCCCCCAGCCCCCCTCCCCCATTGTTCCCCCTTGTCTGCCTCGCGCCGACGCCCGACTCCTTCGAACGCGGTCGAACACTGTTCGCCGCGAAAGCCGAAACAGGCTTACCGGGATATATTTTCGAAGGGCTATGAACGCACGCAAATGCATCAAAATACGTTACATCTCCTGTGCGTAACACCCGCTTCCTTCGTAAACCCATTCCTCTTCCATCTGTTCCTTGTCCGACCACTTGCAACTACTTTCGCGTATACGGATACACACGAGCTCGTCGCAAGTAAATGCGTGAAAACATACGGTGTTTGGAGCAAGTCAGGGGCAACGCGAGGAATTTCCCTACGCTTCTGGCTTGAATCGCTAGGCTCGCCCCAGAGCTTGGCCTTTTCTCCTCCTTCTCCTTCTCCTGTTTCTCCTCCTCCTCCTCCTCCTCCTCCTCCTCCTCCTCCTCCTCCTCCTCCTCCTCCCCCACCCCCCTCCTACCCCCTCCTTTCGACTACCGCCATAGTCATCGTCATCGACGGACGCTCTGTTCGCGCTACAGCTCTAGCGACCTCGACAACCCCATCGAGACTGGCCCGACCACCTCAAGCCAGGGGATCTCTGAGCCTGGAGTTGCGTGGATGTCTCACACGGATTTGTCGGAACCACCTCGTGCGGGGCATCTCTGAGCCTAAAGATGGGAGGATGTCTCAGGCCAGACTGGCCCAACTACCTCAGGTCAGGGGATCTCTGAACCCAGAGTTGCGAGGATGTCTCAGGCGGAAAAGGGCGGACCACCTCGTGCGAGGCATCTCTGAGCCCCAAAGATGGGTGGATGTTTCACTCGAGACTGGCCCGACCAACTCAGATCAAGGGATCTCTGAACCCAGACTTGCGAGGATGTCTCAGGCGAAACTGGACGGACCACTAGGCGCGCGGCATCTCTGAGCCCAAAGATGGGAGGATGTCTCAGGCCAGACTGGCCCGACCACCTCAGGTCAGGGGATCTAAACGGTTAGACAGGCGATAGGACGATCAGTCCGATGAGCGGTCCAACTGCCGGTCAGCCGCCAAGGCGATCAGCCGATAAGCGGTCCGGCAGCCGATCAACCGATCAGCCGATCAGCGGTCGACCAGCCGATCAGCCGATCAGCCGATCAGCGGTCGAACAGCCGATCAGCCGATCCGCCGATCAGCCGATCAGACGCAGACCAGCCAATCAGTCGATCAGTCTTATCGCCGTATCGGCTGATCGGCTGATCGGCTGGTCTGCGTCTGATCGGCTGATCGGCTGATCGGCCAGACGGAATATCCCCCCCAGGCTGCCGTCGCAATGCGAAAACCTCGAACCTCATTATCCCAGTGCGACCCTACCTAGGAGTTGGAGCCCCTAGGAAAGCAGCATTAGTAGTAACCGAAAAGCTAAGCTAAAGCTAAGATAAAGCTAAGCTAAAGCTAAGCGAAAGATAAGATAAAGCTAAGCCAAAGCTAAGCTAAAACTAAGCTAACGCTAAGCTAGAGCTAAGCTAAAGCTAAGCTAGAGCTAAGCTGAAGCTAAGCTAAAGCTAAGCTGAAGCTAAGCTGAAGCTAAGCTAGAGCTAAGCTGAAGCTAAGCTGAAGCTAAGCTAAAGCTAAGCTGAAGCTAAGCTGAAGCTAAGCTAGAGCTAAGCTGAAGCTAAGCTGGAGCTAAGCTAAAGCTAAGCTAAAGCTAAGCTAAAGCTAAGCTAAAGCTGAGCTAAAGCAAAGCTAAAGCTAAGCTAAAGCTAAGCTAGAGCTAAGCTAAAGCTAAGCTCAAGCTAAGCTAAAGCTAAGCTGAAGCTAAGCTAAGCTGGGTGAACCCAGGGGGCGCAACTGGGGGAACCGCGGGGCGGGGACTGGGGAAACCGCCCGGGGCGATTTCCATTGCCCGGCCCTTTTAGCTAACAGAGTAAGAACCCTTCTAGGCAGAGCCTAGGTAGGGAATAAAACTCTAGACTCTAGCCCATCCATCCCCCGCTGACGTTGCCCCTGACGGAGGAACTGGACAACACGCACGCTCTGGCGACGATACGTTTCTGCTCAGCCAGGACTCTGCAACCTTGGCTGCGTCCTAGCTTACTCAGCGAGTTCCAGCTAGACACTGTCATACACAGCTGCTTCGCCCTCCATGATGCCGGGAGGCATTGACGACGACGACGACGACGACGACGACGACGAGGTGCTCCCGTCGGGGTTCTCCCGCGGAAGCTGGGGGCACGACCTCACGGCCGCGGCCTCCGCGGTCGAGAGCGAGGCCCAGGGATCTCCCAGGAAGCAGGCCCGACCGAGGGGCCGGCCCTGCCCGGCCGAAGGCGTCGAGAGCCACCTCCGGCCGTGGCGACGAGGGTGTCCCACTCGTACAGTCGGGGCGTTGACCTAAGGAACCCCAAATAAGGAACGAGGCCCCTTGTTTCCAGAAGTTGAGCTTCGATTTCCGATCGAAAACCTAAGGAACACCTGAGGCAAGCTGTGAAACACTTAAGGAACGCGGAGCCCCTCCCCAAAGAAAAAAAGGGTTCCTTCTCCAGGGCCCCGACTGTAGGCGTCACTGCACTGGTGCCTCATCCGCTGCCCGTCTCGCGACCACCCGCCCAGGAATCGCTCCTGCATGGCCTGGAGGGGCTCTCCGAAGCCTCAGGAGCAAAGCGGTGCTCTGCCGCCCAACGAAACCATCCCGCACCGCCCCTTCCCCACGCAGCGCCGACCTGACTGCCCGCATGCTTCTCCACTCCACGCACCAAGGCGTCGATCATGCCCGCGTTGCCGCCTTTCGGGTAGTCCAGCGTGGCTCCCTTCCGGACGGGGCAGGGAGGATTGCAAGAGCAAGTGTGGGAAGCCAGCTCTGGCACCTGGAGTGACGGCATAAGCATGTGCCTCTTGGACGGACGCTCGGCCTCAACGTATATGCGTGAGGATGTCTCGTTGCTCAAGCCAATAGTTCGAGCACATCTGAATGCATGAACATACTTATATGATCAAGCCCAACATGCGCGTGGCACATATTACTACTGCGTGCTGTCCCACGTACAAGAATACGGGCACCTAGACTTGTGTTGTACGTATACGTGGACTCGAATAGTTCTATGTATTAGTGATCAGACTACGCATGCGTATATGATGATGCGAAATCCAACCTACGATCATAATCCGACGCATGTTGTCAGATCCCTGTACCTGTTTCTACATGCACGTGCTTCTTGCTTGTTCTGGATCCTCCTCGCGGGCCTTCTTGTACATGTCGGCCATCATGTACGCCATCATGCTGGTCGGCGCCCCGTATGAAGGCAGGCCCTGCAGCAAGAACGCGAACATGTCCATCCAATTTCGGATGAATGGGTCCGTCACGCCCGCGTCCTCACGGGATCGGGGGCGCCGATGAATTTGGTCAAGCTGCACAGCTACTATTAAAAGAAACTCGAATCAAAGAACGAAGCCCCGTTGGGGCCACGGAATCGCCTGGGTGCATGCGGAGCGCTAGAGGGGCAACCAGGGAGGGACTTCAAGAGCAGCGAGCCCGTTCCGATCCCGAACTGCTCTCCTCATTTTGCCGTCTTGACTGCACTTCTCTCACGAGCCGTTTGACGACGACTCGGGGAATGGGGAGGAAGAGAAGGGAGGTCGGAGGAGGGGAAGAGGAGGGGCGAGCGCGGGAGGGAAAGGCGGGAGGCAAAAAGGAGGACTAAGGAGAGGAGGAGTGGAGGACGGGAGGGCTTGGAATCCCGATGCCATTTGGTCACAAGGGGGCGGTGGAAGTTGGGGAGGTTCCAGGGGGGAGGAAGGAGGAGGGGGGGAGGTGAAAAGAGAGCAGACGGGACAGGAAGCGGTCAGGCTGTGATTCCCCAAGCAATGCTTGCACTTAGGGGCCCTACCTGATAGCAGATCAAGAGCTTCGCCCAGTGCCCACCCGCAGGCGCCTCGCGCGCACGCTGTGCTGGGTGGTAGCTCAGAGAACGCCCAGAGTCCAGCCGCGGCCGCCTCGCGGAAGCATCGCGCTGGGTGGCAGCTAAGCTTGCTCAGGGTGCCCGCCCGGGGGCACACCGTGAGCGCCTTGTGCTGGGTGACAATTCTAGGTTTCCGCCCGGTGCCTCCCAGGGTCACGATCCCTCGCAAATTACGCTGCGACCGCAATCCCAGGGCCCCCCGGGGCATCCTTGGGCCCCCCGTGGACGCCTCACGGGCGCCTTGTGCTGGGTACCCACATTCATTGCACACGTAGCTCTCAACACACAGGCCTTCCACCTCATAGCGTGCAAACACACAGCCTACACCACATAGGTCCTAACATACCACTTGCATCGCATAGCTTGCACCACATAGCGTCCACCTTGTCGCTTACACCACAGAGCTTGCACCCCGTAGCCTTCAACACATAGCTTCCATCGCATGGCTGGCCGGTGCAGAAACTCACGGTTGGGGATCGACGCTGGCAAACACGTGCACCCAGATAGAGCAAGGGGTGCATCGAGGACCTGGGCCACAGGGTGGAGGAGCAGGAGAAGCTGGGCGGAGGGAGGAGGGGGGGCGCAACAGGAGGGGAGGCGGGGAGGAGGCAGGCGCGTGGAGCGCGGAGGTGGATATGACTACCTACCAGACCACTCCAACCCAACCCGAAGACGCGAACTTCGGGTTTGGGGGGGTAAGGGTTCCACATGTGTTTTCTTCAATGTTTCCCGACCCCCCCCCCACTGGAAATCGAGGGTAAATCTGAGCCTTCGGGTTGGGTTGGGGTGGTTTGGTGGGTGGTGAGGATAGAGGACGAAGGAGGGAAGCAGTAGGGGAGGAGATCACAGACGGGGCTGATGAAAGAGGACACGCGAGAGGACACAAAAGGCCCTTCCGAGGGCCGCACCGCCATCGGAAGGCAAGAGGGCATGGGTCGCGAAGGACAGGGCACAAGGGTACCCTTGATCTGGCAGGGTCGACTTACTGGTCGGCCCCGACTGCACGCTGCACAGAGGGAACGGACACAGCGCTGCGCGCTCTCGCGCGAAAACCGACACTTCGGGCAAGCTCCATATACTCTGACGGCTGGCTCGGGGACCTCAAGAGCTGTCTCCCCAATCCGCGCCCCATCTGTTCACCCACACACCCGCCCACCCGTCCGTCAGCCATCCCCGGCGGCCCCTGTCGGCGTCGCGACCACAACAGCGAACCTTGGGGGTCCACGCGCGACAATTACCGATCATGCCCCCAGTCTCGTGCACGGGTTGCGAGGCTCTGTTGTCGACGTGGCGGTGGATAACTACTCCAAGCCTCATCATGAAAAGGAGGGGGTCACAACCCCACAGACGGGCAATTGTAGACCCCCCCAACAGACCAGTGATGAAAGAGCGTTTCTTTCACCAACCCACCGAAAACCTCCAAGACAGCTCCAATCAGATTCCCCCTCCAAAACCTGTGGTGCCCTCCCCGAACCAACCTCGATCATATACCTTGGTCCGACCGTAAGCCTTCCCCTAGGCCACCCGAATTCGCGCTCCGCGCCGCACGGAAGCACCTCGCGCGGAGCACGACACGCGATCAGTCTCTATTGCTCCCGCGCCGCCCTGGAGGCGCGGATGAAAGCCCTCCGGCCAAGACTGGCCGAGCACGGATCGCAGCCACCCTCGCGCCTTCTGCTCGCGAGGGGGCTCGACCAAAACAGTGTGTTTCGTTCTCGTTATGGTTTCGTTCTCCCCCGCTCTGTCTTCGCTCCACCCTCGCTGCCAAACGAAATCAAAAAGAAAACGGTCGAAGAGATCGCCAAAAACACCGTTGATGTCGAGCCATGGGCGAGGGGCGAACATGTTCACAACCACGCCCTCGCAGTCTGGACTCCTGGGCGGGATCCCGTGCATGCTGACTACCTACCATACCACCCCAACCCAACCCGAAGACCCGAATTTCGGGTTGGCGGGGGTACGGATTCCATGTGTTTTTTCAGTGTTCCCCGACCCCCCCCCCGCTGGATATGGAGGGCAAATTAAATTAAGGCCTTCGGGTTGGGTTGGGGTGGTTTGGTGGGTGGTGACATGCGCGGTCGCATGGATACGTTCCGCGCGAGGCATCCGCGAGAACAAAAAGGCCAGGTATCCACAAGATCGTCGCGGCCCAGGAGCCTGGCACGGGAGGCCGTGGAGATGGACAATGTTTCCCGCCAGGGCTGGACCTAAGCGTTGTTTTTCGTGTTGTTGTCGTTTTGTTTTTCGTTTTGCTCTGCCTGTTTTCCTGTTCCCTCCTCCCAAGACGAAAAACAAAACACAGCCGAAGTCCAGCAAAACAGCGCTTAGGTCCAGCCGAGTGACCCACGACCTACAAGGGATGCTCCGGGGAGAGAGGGATGGACACAAAGGGGAGGGAAGGAGGAGAGGGGAGCGAGAGGGAGAGAGGACGGAGGAAGGAGAGGGGGGGCAGGGTAGAAAGGAAAGGACCGGGGAGCAGAAGGGAGAGAGGGTGGCGAGGGTGAAGGAGAAAGGAGGATAAGAGATGGGGAGGAGATCTCACTTTGGATCTCACTTGGTACCAGGCCCACCCCCAGGCGGCTGCCCCCTGAGGTGGGGGGGAACCCACCTGAGTGGACCAGCGGGAAGAGGAAGGTAGAGGGTGAAGGATGGGAGTGAAGGAAAGAGGCTATGTGTGGGTCGGAAGAAGTAGGTAAAAACAGTAAGTAGAAAAGCGGATAAAATAGATTGGGCTCAAGCCCTCCCAGAGAATAGCACAACACAACAATTAGCCTGACGAAAGACCCAACCATACGCAGCTGCGAATACTGCATTGTGGGTTCCGCTCTCGGTGGAGCTCCTTCTGGGGCCACGAACAATGTGAGGGGTGTGCCGACTTGGGCGCGGTGGTGCCATGCGAACCCTTCCACTGGAGCCTTCGGTGGAGCTCTCCATGGGGCCACGAACCGTTTGAGGGGTGTGCCAATTTGGGCGCGGTGGCGCGGTGGTGCCATGCGAACCCTCCCAGTGGGGCCTTCGGTGAAACTCCCTATGGTGCCACGAAACGTGTGAGGGGTGTGCCGAATTGGGCGCGGTGGTGCCATGCGAGCCCTCCCATTCGAGCCTTCGGTGAAGCTCCCTACAGGGCCACGAACCGTTTGAGGGGTGTGCCCGGATTGGGCGCGGTGGTGCCATGCGAATCCTCCCACTGGGCCCTTCGGTGGAGCTCCCTATGGGGCCACGAAACGTGTGAGGGGTGTGCCGATTTGGGTGCGGTGGTGCCATGCGAACCCTCCCACTGGGGCCTTCGGTGGAGCTCCATGGGGCCGCGAACCGTGTGAAGGGTGGGCCGAATTAAGCGCGGTGGTGCCATGCGAACCCTCCCATTGGAGCCTTCGGTGGAACTCCTTATGGGGTCACGAACCGTGTGAGGGGTGTGCCGAATTGGGTTCGGTGATGCCATGCGAACCCTCCAACTGGAACCTTCGGTGAAACTCCCTATGGTGCCACGAAACGTGTAAGGGGTGTGCCGAATTGGGCGCGGTGGTGCCATGCGAGCCCTCCCATTCGAGCCTTCGGTGGAGCTCCCTACAGGGCCACGAACCGTTTGAGGGGTGAGCCCGGATTGGGCGCGGTGGTGCCATGCGAATCCTCCCACTGGGGCCTTCGGTGGAGCTCCCTATGGGGCCACGAACCGTTTGAGGGGTGTGCCAGATTGGGCGCGGTGTTGCCATGCGAACCCTCCCACTGGAGCCTTCGGTAGAGCTCCCTATAGGGCCACGAAACGTGTGAGAGGTGTGCCGAATTGGGTGCGGTGATGCCATGCGAACCCTCCCACTGGAGCCTTCGGTGGAGCTCCCTATGGTGCCACGAAACGTGTGAGGGGTGTGCCGAATTGGGCACGGTGGTGCAATGCGAACCCTCCCACTGGGGCCTTCGGTGAAGCTCCCTATTGGACCGCGAACCGTGTGAGGGGTGTGCCGAAATTGGTGGCGCGGACGCGGAGGGGGAGGAGGAGGAGGAGGAGGAGGAGGAGGGGGGGGAGGAGGAGGAGGAGGAGGAGGAGGAGGAGGAGGAGGAGGAGGAGGAGGAGGAGGAGGAGGAGGAGGAGGAGGGAGGAGGAGGAGGAGGAGGAGGAGAGGTGGGACGCAAGGCGCTGTCTCTTCAAAACGAGGACCCAACACCACAGGATGGTTGGGAAAAGCAGAGGGACTCTTGAAGTAGGAAGGCGCTTAAAATAGATTGGGATCTGGGAATCCGAAAATACTTGCTTTCAACGACCACCGTGCAGTCGTATTGTCTGCGTGCGCGTAGTATTCGGGAGGGAAGGGGAGAGGATGAAGGGATGGGGAGGGGGAGGGGAGGGGGAAGGCGACGGAGGGGTGGATAGGAAGGGATGGTGGAGGAGGAAAGGGAGGGGGCAAAGGAAGAGATGCAGAAAGGGGGAATGAGATACGGGGGGGTGGAGGAAATATGTACACACAGAGGGGGGACGGGAAAGGGTCCATGTTCCCTCCTCCCGTAGGGTGGTGGATGGGGAAAGCGAAGACAATGCGGCTGCGGGAGCCTTCAAGAACTCCGAGAACGGCTCGGAGAGCTTCTGCGGACCACCTCACCACAAAAAGAAATTGCAGGCATAAATATGGGGACGAGGGAGCTTGTAGGAGGAGAGATGAGGAGGAGGAGGAGGAGGAGGAGGAGGAGGAGGAAAAAGAGGATGAGGAGGAGGAAACAAATAAGGGCAGCACACACACACACACACACACACACGCACACACACACACACACACACACACACACACACACACACACACGCGCGCGCGCGCGCAGTCCACGGGCAGACTGGGCAAAGATACCATCTATCATGCTGGACCGCGTCTTCACGAACTACGTTCTGGACTACGGTGCGCGACCCGGAACGCGCGTGGTTTGACAAAGCAAAAAGCAACGGAAATCACATAAAGCACATGGAAACATATGGAATACAGATCTTACGCATGCGAGAAACACGGAGAACCAAAACAAATCAGCCGCATCATTCTTCGGAGGGAAGATGCAGATGCAACATCATGGGCTGTAATTGGTTTTGTCAGTTCTCCGAGCCACGTGCATTCGTTTGATCGCGCAAGCAAGTATCCGAAAGAATCATACAAATAAAAATCAAATTGGGAAGCCGTGTACTCGGGGGCTTTGGAGTCTACGCAACCCACAACTTGAAGCCCTTGCCGGAGGAACGTATGTTCTGGAAAACTCTGGACGCCGAGTTCTGGACATGCTCGGCCACGGCCAACAAGATGATCATGGGGGACGTGAATGCACGAGTTGGGCATGCAGACGCCGGGGCATCGTCGACCTTGACCGCTCACCTGGGGAAGGCGGGCTCTCTATCAAGCTGCAGTCCCAAATCGTGATTTACTTATGGAATGTTGCGTTGGCCTCGACATGAAATTGGCAAATACATATTCTGAGCGGCCATTGGAAGACTCCGTGACCTTCATGGAGGCGGAGGCCACGCCATCGGGGCCCATCACCGAGGACAGATACAACATCTTATATTACGTAATCTGCGATGCTACCGCGTTGAACCAAATACGGAGTTTAAGAACTCATCGTGAAGCAGCTTTAGCCACGGACGAATACTCTTGATAGCGGATATTCAACACTCTCAGCATGACGATCCATTGCCACACAAACCTCCTCGGGACAGAGATCTGCTACGAGACCCCGCAGCGCAATCAATGTATGCAGAAGAGATATTGGGTGAAATTGCCAGCCGCACGAGTGCCGGGAACGTGGACGCTCTATGGGAGCAAGGCGCAAATACAGCACTATTAGCTACCACTGTCCTTCCACGCCACCCAGAAGAAGTAAAGCGACCATGGGAATCACCACGTACATTGGCACTGATACATCCAAGGAGCGAAGCTCGTGCAAAAAAACGATCGGCCAGGAGAGCGACGCTTGTTGAAAGACGTAATACGATCGTGAAAACTTAGCCTGGCGAAGGACCCAACCATATGCAGTTGCATTCGGATGAGCTCCCTATGGAGCCACGAAACGTGTGAGAGGTGTGCCAAAATTTGTGCGGTGGGCCCGTGCGAGCGCTGGCATTTGGGCCTTCGGTGGGGCTCCCTGTAGGGCCACGAAACGTGTGATGGGTGTGCCAAAATGGGTGCGGTGGCCGCATGCGAACGCTGGCATTTGGGCCTTCGGTGGGGCTCCCTGTAGGGCCACGAAACGTGTGAGAGGTGTGCCAAAATGGGTGCGGTGGCCGCATGCGAGCGCTGGGCCTTCGGTGGGGCTCCCTGTAGGGCCACGAAACGTGTGAGGGGTGTGCTAAAATGGGTGCGGTGGCAGCATGCGAACGCTGGCATTTGGGCCTTCGGTGGGGCTCCATGTGGGGACACGAACCGTGTGAGGGGGGTGTGCCAAAATGGGCGCGGTGGCCGCATGGGAACGCTGGCAGTTTGGCCTTCGGTGGGGCTCCCTGTAGGGCCACGAAACGTGTGAGAGGTGTGCCAAAATAGGCGCGGTGGCCGCATGCGAACGCTGGCATTTGGGACCTTCGGTTGGGCTCCCGGCCACGAAACGTGTGAGGGGTGTGTCAAAGAGAGGGGGATGACGGGAGGAGGAGGGGGAGGAGGAGGAGGAGGAGGAAGAAGAGGAGGAGAGGAACGCGGACGGTTGGGAATTGCTAGGACAAAACTGATGGACTGTCACAATTCATCGGGACGCTGGGAAGATACCCGGAGACACTACAGACCACGGCAACATAAGCAAGGCAGACGTCAAAATCTACATGGGCAGTAAGTTGCAAGCCATGAACGCGCTGACTGCATGGCATCATACTTGGAACAAGCGCAATCGAAAGTACGGCCGACAAGTTTGGTCGACCACGAAGCCCCTCCCGTCGACGAGGCGGCTTTTACGATCCAGGAGGTGGGAAAAGCTGTGCGGAAACTAAAACGGGGAAAGGCAGCAGAACCAGATGGTATCACAGCTGAGCACTGGAAAGCAATCTTACAAACACACATGGTGGACTGAAGTGGGTGACAGAACTATGCATTACTACGTGGGCGGAGCATGAAGTTCCCGTAGCATGACGGCATACCACGGTGAGCGCAAGGTACAATAACAAGGACCCTACCCAGACGTATGAAAACGATCGACCAATCAGTTCACTTCGCGTGGCGTCCAAACTTCTAGCCAGCCTCCTCTTACAGTATCTACAACAGACAGTAGCTGAAGACCAGTTGTCACACATTCAATCTGATTTACGCCGTGGGAGGGGCACAACAGATGCCATTCACGCAGTACGACGTCATATCGAGCTCACGCGCGCTAGGACAAATGGTGGGACTGGGTTTGATGAACTGGATAAGAAAAAAACAGTTGGTTCCATAAAACATTGAAGCCTTGCTGACAGCGCTGCGCCGTTTTGGTGTATCCCAGAATATGCTTACGGTGATCGGGAATATCTCTGAGGCTAGGCGAGTTTGCGTGGCCGATGGCGTGTTCCAATCTTCTGAAATAAAACAGCTGTCCAGAATATCAAAGGTGTGCCCGTTGTAGCCATTTCTTGTCGTCATATTGAAGACTGTGGTTTTGCGAGACGCCGAGAAGAGCTTGAGTGACAATGACAAGCTTGATATGGCTTCTGGAACATTGTCGGTGCAGCTGTACGCCGACGACACGCTCCTCATCGGAAGAAGCCAAACAAGCTTACAGCATCTCCTGGACAATATCGCCTTGGCGGGGGCGCAGGGTGGAAAGGAATCACACTGGGACAAAGTCCAAATGATCCAGATAAACAGCGACACGACGCTGACGACGCCGGCTGGGCAAACTATTGCAGAGAAGCAAAACATGATATACTTGAGCGCTACTCTATACAATACTGGGCAGTTGGGCACCGAATTGAACCAGAGTGGAGGGGCAGCATGGAACGAATTCTCCAAGCATGACAGGGCATTGAAGCACACTGGCTTGACAAGCGGCGAAAACTTGACCTGTTCCAAGCGTTGGTGACATCGAAAAACATGTTATCATTTCATACGGCTGGGTAAACCCAAACTGAAAGGAGGAGGTTGGATAAATTCCAGACCAGATGCCTACGAAGAATACTACATGCACCATCCGCCTCTCTTACGCGAGTGCCCAACAGCAAGGTGTTAGAACAGGCTGGACAAATTCAGTACACTCGGGTGGCTCGATGCGGGCTACAACGTGGCCCTCTTTACATCCAAGTGGTCCCGAGAGAACCGCCTGCAGCTAACTATTCATCTTCGTGGTCAGCTACACTAGCAAGCTGAATGAGCAGAGCGACGAAAACATCGAGCAGTGAGGAATGAAGCAGTTAGCAGAGTTTCGATTGTGCCGCCATCACCGCGCGAGCTGGCCGGCACCTCATGAGCGCAACCACCATCAGCAGTCCTCGGCATCTGCGAGTCCCTGCATTGTGCACGTTTCGGCCCTTCCGTTCGAGGCAGGCTTCGCGGTCGAATTCGATATCCTTTTCGGTCTTGCTGACAGAGACCCTTGCGGGCGGGATTAAATGTCCGCCTTGGCACACTGAACGTCCAGCACTGGACCTGGAGCCGGCTTGGCACTCACAATGTGGACAATGCCGTTGGGTTGGTCAATTTTGCCTGGCGAGAGCAGCTGGACATCTTGGGGCTGACAGATGTGGGATCCATCACATCAGCCATTGAGGTACTGGAGAGCACGGCGAGAGGAGCGAGGAGAGTATGGGAGGAGGTTGGGCATTAGAGGAATACATTGTCATCTTCGGGACCAAGGTGGCTTTCCTGCTGTCGCCTGCGGCTGCGCAGATCTGGCGGGAGAGTGGTGCCCGAGTTCCCCGGGAGCACGGCGACCGGCTCCTCCACCTCCAGTGGGACCTTGCTGGCCAGAAGTTTGATTTCGTGGTTGGCTACGCACCCACCGGCCCTCCGCGATCGCGGGCACACTTCTTCGAGCAGGCTGATTCCCTCCAGACACAGTTGCGGGCCCGCGCAGTGCACATCTGGATGGGGGACTGGAGCTCGCACATCGGTGCGGGGTCCCGCACCCAATTTCCGCATCTCCTGGGTCGTCACGGGTTGAAGACGGAACCTAAAGAGACTGGGCAAGAGCTGCTGGCGTGGATCGACCGGAGCCCGGTCGACATGTGTTTGGCTGACTCTTTCGCTTGGATCGGCTCGCGCGGCACCTGGCGAGTTCCGATAAATCGATCTGATGTTGACGAATATCGACACTGGTACGAGCTTGACACGTTCGTCGTGAGCAAAAGGCTTGAGAAATGGTTGCACCGTTGGCGCACGCGCGTGAGCGATTGTTCGACTGATCATCATGCTAAGATTGTTGACATGTGCCTGCCATCTGGATCACGAGAGGCGGCGAGGGCGCGAGGCCGGCAGCTGAGAGATGCTGCCGATCGCGCTGCTGCACAGCGCAAGCCAAAACCCCTAGCCACCAGTTTGTTGCGAGGCACAACCACCGAGTCCGAGAGCGCACGCTGCCAGTATGCACATGAGACGGACCGTTTGGCACGAGCTGCTCCGTCATGTTGCACTTGGCCACAGGTTGCGCGCATGCGTGTCGATGCCATG